AGCCAGGGGTGCGGGGGGAACCTCTGCGGGAACGTGGGACCCGGGCTGTCCGCCTGCGCCCCGACGTGACTGTTTCTTCTCCGCGGGCGCCCGGCCGGGAGGCGGTTTCCCGCCCGGAGCTCGCCCGCCCCCAGCCCTGCAGAACCGGGCTCCACCCGTAGAGCAGAGCAGGGGCCGAACCGTCCTAAGCACGGTTGTCCTCACGGTGGGGCCCCGACTGCTGAATGTGGAAGGGGTGATGGAATTAGGGGGAAAGCACCGCGTGGGAAACACGAAAGTAGTAATTACTCCGGGCAGGGATCACGACTGGATACTACGACTCGGAGTTGACGAGAAACAAGGTGCTGGCACAGCCTCAAAGCTCCTGCCCACAAGATGCTTACCAAGGGGGGCGAGTCGTATCTGGGCCGTGGAGAAATCTGGTCGACAAGGCCCCAGCCAAGTGTTCAGTGAACATGACCTCCACTGGGGACAAAATGCCCATTAGGCGCCTCCTGAGAGGATGCATTGAGGAAGACACACTATCACTTTGGTGTCGTTCCTGCCAAAAAACGCATGATCTGAACCTAAAGAAAACATCAGACAGACGCAAGTGATGGACAGTCTACAAAATACATGGGCTGTGTGCTTCAAAAATACCAAGGTCATGAGAGACCGGAGAACTTCTAGATTAGAGGAGATTGACAGGAACATGCCAGGGTCTGGCATAGGACATGAGTAGCACCGTTGGCAAAATTTGAATAGATCTTTAATATTTCTGAGATTTTTAAATTGGTATTTAGACAAAGAGAGAGGGGAGGGAGAGAGAGAGAGAAACATCGATGTGAGATTGGGAATCGAACAGGCAACCTTTGGATGCCCTGGACAACGCCATACCTGCCAGGGCTAGTTTGTGCAGTTTCAGAAGCAAGGTTCAAAATGAACACAAATCAATTTGGAAATCTGGCATTACTTAGTCTCATTTGGGGTCCTAGTTTATAAAACCACGTCATGGAAGGATATTGAGTTGACTAAGTGTGTAAGTGAGCAAACGTTTGTCAAACACAGTGTTTGTCCTCAGTTACATGACTGTTGCTCTTCTGGCAGATACCTTGAGGTCTTTTGAAATTATTTAACTGTGAAACGAGGGAAACAAGTACTTGTGAAGTACTTTTTAAGTTAAGCAGTTTATAGATTATTTGCAAAGTTGTGCTTTATTCTGATCTTGCCAGCGTTGACCTAACCAAGGAGGAAACAACTGGTGCCATCAGTTCTAAAGGCAGCACACCTGAAAATCTTCAGCAGGAAGATGGCAGTGTGTTCTCTTTCATCACCTGGAATATTGATGGATTGGATCTAAAGAACCTGCCGGAGAGGGCTCGAGGGGTGTACTCCGCTATAGCTCTGTGAGTAGTGTTACTCCTGTTGAAGGGTCGAGGGGCAGTGTGTCTTACCTGTGTGCAAAGAGGGTAGCCGCTGGAGGTCTGGGACCCAGATTCAGAGTCCAGCTCTCAGGGTTGTGGGAGGGGTGGGGCTGGAACACTGATTTTTGTTAGAAGCTTTCCAGTGCTATTTTACGTACTGACCTTCATAGGTAATTGTTGCTATGAGAATTAAATTACCACAAAGGTCTGTGTCTGTCACACACTGGTTGTTACCTATGGATCACTTGTGACCCACTTGGTTCGTGCTCCGGACCTCAGTTTTCTCCGTGACAGATAATAACTTTCAGGAGGATGGGAAGAGAGGATCATACGCAAAGTACCCAACAGAGTGCAGGCCCGTTGTACCTCTCAGTGTTACTGGTTCCTGTTGTCAGTGATTCTGATTCTTTTGTTGCCATATATATGGTGTTTCGTTTTAAAGCAATCTTTACTGTATTATGTGTTAAACAGCACAGATCTCTCATTTTATAGTTATCAAAGATCACTATGAATATTGAATATTAGGTGTCTGAGAGGGTAATAGTGTTGTATTTATGTTGTGGTATTTTCCTGATCTAGGTAGCTGAAAATGAAATGGCATACCTGGTGTTTATCATACGTTGATGTTTCTAAATAGGTACAGCCCAGATGTGATATTTCTACAGGAAGTTATCCCTCCATATTATAGCTTCCTAAAGAAGAAAGCAAGTAGCTATGAGATTATTACAGGTAACGACTTTCCTTTGACCTGCCTTTTTCTTTGAAAAACAAGTCAGTGAAAGAGAGAAATCACAGTTGGCCTATTAGAGCATAGACCCCAAAAAGCAGAAAAACAGTCAGTTTGAGCAAAACAAGCCAGATGCAGGATGCTGAAAGAACTGTAGAGAATGCTTTATAGGGCTTAATGTTAATACATGTGGGAAAGTGGTTGGAATGGATGGTATCAGCAGAATTGCCAAAATTTGAGCTAGTGTGTAGCTTTTTGGTGAAATTAAATCTCTAAAAATTTTAAGTGTGATATTTGCATTGTAGTTATGCTTTTTTTTTCAAATTTTTAATTTTTCAATTGCAGTTCATATACTGTTTTATTAGTTTCATGTGGTTATGCTTTTTCCAAAAGTCTGTTTATTTCTTTTTCTAGTTTTTTACTCTAAATTTAGTTTTTTTATTTTCCATCAGTTTTGTTTTTACTAAATGCATTTAATGTACCACTTTGGTTACATTTCATGATTTTGGGCTAAATCTCATGTATTCTTTGACTTTCACGTTTACACAGAACATGGTTTTAGTTTTGATTTACTGTCTAGTCCAGACTTGTTAAGGAGAGGTTCTCGCTCAGTCTCTGTCTCTTTTTGCTCCCTTTGTGGGACCGCTTTTCTGCATTCTCTTGGGGATTCTGTTTGCCTCTCCTGTTTTGGATTTGTTGTTTTCTGAATCCCATGCTTTGCTCCTTGGTTTACTTCCTCTTGTTTTGTTGGAGCACATTGTTTAATCACTTTCTAGGAAATAGTGCATGGGGTGCTGTTTCCGAATCCCAGCATATTTGGGTACCTGTGTTCTGTCCCCATAACTGGTTGATAGGTTGGCTTTCTAGGTAGGAAATCATTTTCCCTCAATTTTGAAGGTATTATTTCAGTGTTTTCTGGTTTCCATTATTGATGATAAGTTTGATGCCATACTAATTCCTGTCCTCCCCCACCCCCTAAGCTTTGAGGGGCTTCTTTTCAATCAATCCTAGTGGTTTTTGGGGTCTTTTTTTTTTAAGAATCTGTGATAAATATTTTTTAAAAAAAATTTTTTTTAACTGATTTCAGAGAGGAAGGGAGAATGAGAGAGAGATAGAAACATCAATGATGAGAGAGTCATTGATCAGCTGCCTCCTGCACACCCCTTACTGGGGATCAAACCCACAACCCCAGGCATGTGCCCTGACCTGGAATCGAACCCTGATCTCCTGGTTCATAAGTCAGTGCTCAACTGCTGAGTCACACTGGCCAGGTGGGTCTTTTTTTCATTTACTGTTCTGAAGACTTGGTAGGAACTTTCAGTCTAGAGGTCTGCGACTTTCAGTTCTGGAAAATTCTTCCCCCTCTCTCTCTGCCTGTCTCCTGCCCACCTGCCACCTCTCTAGCCTGCCTGCCAGCCTCCCAGCCCCTCCCTTTCCCCTCCTTCCCTCTCCTTTTTCCTTCCTCCCTTATTTCCCTATTTCTCTTTTTCTGGTTCCTCTCTGTTCTGATAAACCGGTCACCACGCCTCCGTCTACTTGGTTTTCTGAAAAGCTGTTGGAAGCCTTCATCACTCTTCTCTACTTCTGTTCTCTTTTCTTCTTGCAACTTTACATCTTTCTAAATTTCCTATTCACTTACTATAATTTTCCAGGGACTTCCAGAGTGAGAAGTAAATGCATGTCCACTTGACTTAGTTTAAGTCTCACCTACTCTGTCTTTCAGAAATTTCTCAAATTTTTTTGTTTACTATTTGGCACCATTAACTGTTTTTGGCACTTATGTGAAGTCATGTTTATTTTTATATTTCATTCATACTTCCATTACATTGTGGGAGGGGGAGGTAAACATAGGGACTTGGTTGTCCATCTTCAACTATTTTGAAATAATAGTTTACTTTTAAGATTGAGATCCATTTAAGTATCTGTACCTGTTTGTTATAAATTCCTCAGTAGGGGAACCTGATAAATTGCAGATACTCTTGTCCTCTCAACCTGAATTCTTTTCCACCAACATTTGAAGGTCGTGATGAAGGATATTTCACAGCCATAATGTTGAAGAAATCGAGAGTGAAATTTAAAAGCCAAGAGATTATTCCTTTTCCAAATACAAGAATGATGAGAAACCTTTTATGTGTACATGTGAGTAATTTTTTAAAATCAACTGCTTTTCAAAGAAAGGATAGGTTCTTCTTTATAGTTCCACGTGGTGTCTTTTTTCTCTTTTTTTTTAACTGTTGTCTTTAGAGAAAAATTTGTTACTTATAGTTCTCTTAATAGACTTAAAGAACTGTGTAAATTAAGTGTATAAGTTTGAAACATAGACAAACTTGTAAAAATAAAATCCTTGATTTGATAGATGTTTTCCTAAGAATGTTTAAGAGTTTGTTAACATTCCACGTTTACTTCCTTGTACTCTGTGAGGCCTACAAAAATGAGCCGGATAGCCCTTGCTCTCCTAGACGTGATAGATTAGCAAGGGAGAGATTGTATACATCTAACTAAAGGAAAGGCACCACAGGAACGCCGCGGGGAGGCGTGCTGGTGTGCCCTGGAAGTTCGGAGAAAGGACTTGTAGTAGATATTGTTTATAACGGAGGTGCAATTGACATAACACTAATATTAGTTTCAGGTGTACCACACAGTGACACAGTATTTGTATATATTGTGAAATAATCACCGCAACAGTCAATTAACATCTGTCACCATACGCAGCTAAGTTTCTGTCTTGTGATGAGATCAGCTACATTGTTTAGTGAAAGTCTTATGAAGGAAGTTGTATTTGAATCAGGCTTGGACCTGGAGGGAGAAGCACAGTGCTGATGAGGTAGTTTCACTTTAGTCAGTATGTACAGTCAGCTGAATAATGTGCTGATCCTGTTATCAAAGGCCAATTTTAACTGGGATCTGGATCATGACTGCACAACGGGAAAGAGTTTGGACTTGAATCTGCAGGCAACTAGTTTAAATAATGGCACATCCTGCCTTAGCATCATAACTGCAGATGATAAATGATTCCCATTCGTTCATTTACTGACCTTTTTTGAGTATCTAAGTGCCAGGCTCTTGATAATATTGCAGCGAATGAGAGAACCCTCTTTGTTTTCTAATTATTATGCTGTGATTCAGTTTGGGGACCCAAAAAACAGTTTCCAGGGCACAATGGAAATGTAGAGGAGGGAGCCTGGGGGACCTTAGGAAAGGGCTCACAGGGAGGTGGCATTTGAGGTACGTCTTGAAGCATTAGTGTGCTTGCTAAGTCGTCTTCCTCGAAAGCAGGGAGAAGTGCAGACCTTGGACCTGGAGGGAGAAGCACAGTGCTGATGAGGTAGTTTCACTTTAGTCAGTATGTACAGTCAGCTGAATAATGTGCTGATCCTGTTATCAAAGGCCAATTTTAACTGGGATCTGGATCATGACTGCACAACGGGAAAGAGTTTGGACTTGAATCTGCAGGCAACTAGTTTAAATAATGGCACATCCTGCCTTAGCATCATAACTGCAGATGATAAATGATTCCCATTCGTTCATTTACTGACCTTTTTTGAGTATCTAAGTGCCAGGCTCTTGATAATATTGCAGCGAATGAGAGAACCCTCTTTGTTTTCTAATTATTATGCTGTGATTCAGTTTGGGGACCCAAAAAACAGTTTCCAGGGCACAATGGAAATGTAGAGGAGGGAGCCTGGGGGACCTTAGGAAAGGGCTCACAGGGAGGTGGCATTTGAGGTACGTCTTGAAGCATTAGTGTGCTTGCTAAGTCGTCTTCCTCGAAAGCAGGGAGAAGTGCAGACCTTGGACCTGGAGGGAGAAGCACAGTGCTGATGAGGTAGTTTCACTTTAGTCAGTATGTACAGTCAGCTGAATAATGTGCTGATCCTGTTATCAAAGGCCAATTTTAACTGTGTTTATCCTGTTGCAGGCAAGTATATCGGGAAATGAACTTTTCCTTATGACTTCGCATCTGGAGAGCACTAGAGGGCATGCTGAGGAACGAATGAATCAGTTTAAAATGGTTTTAAAGAAAATCGAAGAGGCTCCAGCGTCAACCACAGTTATATTTGCGGGTGATACAAATTTAAGGGACCAAGAAGTGAGTGACAACGTCAGTTCAAGGTTTAAGGGCAGGCTATTGCTCTGGAAGCTAATTCAGGTTCCTTTTGATTAAAGCTGGTAGAATGTATACATGACCTTGTAGGTGCAATCCAGCAAACAGTTATTTAGCTGTGCTCTGTGCCCAGCACTGGGAAGCAGAGGCAGGAGGCCTGTTACATCATTGGGGGAAACATGGCTTATAAAACGACACAGAGCAGTGTGTGGGTTAGGAGGGGTCCAAGGGAGACAGTAGTGAGGGAGTTTAGGAAAGGTTGCGTTTATTTGTGGGTCTAGTTGCAAGGTGAGGAGAACAGAAAGATATGACCATCATGGATGCCCCCCTTTTCCTGGCACCACTGTGTCCAGGTCTGAAACAAAGTCTCTTTTTCCTTAGTTCAGTTGAGACACTTTGGGATTTTTCAGGACCTTTGTAAACTTAGAACTTACAAATGATGAGCCTGCCTGGCCTTTCCCCACTCTGGCTGCACTCACATCAGACTGAACGTAACTGAAATGGAGTTTCTGATCATGTTCACTGCCACCGCCTGGGGAGGGAGGAGCAGTGAGTAGGAAGGAAAGCAAGTCAGGACACTGCCAGAGCAAAGGCAGCTCTCACAGGAAGGACGTGGGCTCTGCCTCCTCTGTGACTGTGTCCTTGCCCAGGTCATTTAAAAACCAGGCTTTCTAATGGTCTGTTTTCAGATTAGTTTGTTTATGTGGAGCTGTTTCTTGGTGTCTGGTTGAGTGACTATGACTTTTTAAATCCTGCTTTTTAACAAACGGTGCTGGGATATCCACATGCAAAACAAGTTGGATCCTTACTTTATACCCTATATAGAGTTATTTTAAATAGATCCAAAGACCTAAAGGTAAGAGCTAAAACAGGGAAAGTTTTATGACATTGGATTTGGCATTGACTTCTTGGATAGAAAGCAAAGGCACAGATAAGGTGGACATCATGAAAGTTAAAGCCTGTGCGTCAAAGGACACTATCAACGGAGTGAAAAGGCAACAAGGAATGGGGGGAAACATTTGCAGATCATATATCTGAGAAGCAGTTAATATTCAGAATATATAAAGAACTGTTAACAATAAAAAGCCAACAATAAGAAACAACCTGATTGCTTTTTAATTTAGGAGAAAAACTGAATCTTACAGAGTTTTCTGTTTTTTCAGGTGACCAAATGTGGTGGTTTACCCAGCAACATTTCAGATGTCTGGGAGTTTTTGGGCAAACCCAAGCATTGCCGGTACACATGGGATACACAGATGAACTCTAACCTGGGGATCCGTGCTACCTGTAAGTATCGTTTTGATCGGATACTTTACAGAGCAGCAGCAGACGGTGGCCACATCATTCCCCAGAGTTTAGATCTCCTTGGACTGGAAAAACTGGACTGTGGCAGATTTCCCAGTGATCACTGGGGTCTTCTGTGCACCTTAGATGTAATACTGTGAAATGCCTTTCAAATACAAGCCTTAGATGGTCTGAGTAGTTTTATGCTGGAGATTTGCAAATCTAATTTCTTCCTGTCTGGAAAGTCAGGTTTAATGTGGAGGAATTAATATACTGGACCATTAGAAGAAAAAACTACTGTGATTTTATTTTGCGAATGATGTCCTTATATTTCAGAGTGAAATATTAATGATTATTTCAGTGAACTACCTGTGCTCAGAATACCAGGGCTTTTGTACAAGGGCATGAAGGCTGTCAGCTATCAGTAGTGCTCAGCTGCTGGCTGATGGCACTGTCTCTGGGCCAGCCTGTATAGTTGATTCATTTTAGAAATCGAGAACCAAAATAGTTAATGTTTTAAGTAAGTCTTCAGGAGAAAAACTTGGAGGTTACTGAGTCCTTGGCACTGGATCTTTGGTGCCGTTTCACAGACTCATTTGATCAGGTGAAAAGGCCAGATCGTCTGCATTTGAGTAGGTGACAGCTGTCCTGTGTCAGACTTTACGTTTGTCAGCTAACCGTGCATCACTGGTGAGCTGTACGTGAACTCACGATTTAAAATTCCTTAGCTTTTAAATTCATGTTTGTAGCTGTGTCGCCAAAAGAGCCACGTTGGGTTTGATGGGAATGAAAGAGTTTACAGCAGCTCCGGACTTGTTCCTGAGAGCAGAATAAACATATAAAGGGAATCAGCCCTTAGTTTTGCTACTCTGAAACTGAATTATTTTACAGAAGAAAGGAGCATTTTTAAATGTGCTTTAAGGAAACATTTTTTTCCATAAGAGAAAGATGCTTTAAATAAAGAATTTTACTTGTTCATAGTTTGTTTTTGTGCCTGGAATGGGATTGAGTCTTGACCACCTCCTGTTTCTGCCTCCATCACGCAGCTTCACCATTGTGTGGGAGAAAACATACTGCAGATATGGGGGGGACTACTGTTGCGCCAGAATCTAAGCTACAGATTACAAGAGAAGTGACCAGGGACAATGAAACCACTTTCTGCCTTCATAGGCAGTAGTTCTAAACGCAAGAATTAAGAACCTGTTAATTTGCAACAGTTTTTTACTTTGAATCTCAAGTTTTTCCAGTACTGTAGCTGTAGGTGCTTCACCTCCCCGGTGGAATTGCAACCTGGAGTCGCTTAGGAGGCTAAGCGCCGAGGCGCTGGGACGCGCCGGGACACGCCGCCTCCTGGGCTCAGGTCCTCCCACCCTCGGAGCTGGAGGTCCTGCGTCTCCACCACGCAGGTTCGCGCGGGTTCGTAACCGCGCGTGAGCAGGAGCAGAGTCGGAAAAGCTGTACCGAGGGTGCAGCACCGTATCCGCCGTTTTTTTAGCGGCAGCTGGCCTGGCAGAAGCTCAGTCGGTGCCCCATGCCCAGGGCGCGTGGACAGCGGCCTCCCGGGACCGGAGGCCGACCGTTTCATGGGCGCGCTCCTGCCCACTCGGTGTCTGCGGCGGAGCAGGGCTGCTGGCTCGCCCCGCGGCTGCGCGGCAAGTGCAGGCTGCCCTTTTCGTTTTCTCTAAACTGATTTTCAGTCTTTCGGTTCTGGGCAGGTTTTTATTCAACCCCCCAGCCGTCCTCTGAGTGTCAGCTCCATTTGCCACTGGGGAGCAGGGCTTGGCAGGCCGGTGTTCCCTACGAGGCCCGAGCCCAGGCGTGCGCCCAGGCCTGCCCTTCCACCGGCCTGGCGCGTGCCTGGGGTGCTGGAGGACGGCCCTCGGGGAGGAAGCGGGGTGACGGCGAGGCAGCCTGCTTCCTGCGTCCCTGGTGGAGAGGGAGGGGCTGGCCGGGCTGGGCCGCGCGCGGCGTCCTCTCCTGGGTGGGACTCTGCGGGCGCGCGGACCCCCCACCAGGTCGCGCGCTGCAGGCCTGCTGGGCCGGGAGGCCGGAGGCTAGGCGGACAGT